GTTACAAACTGGCTGTGTTAGCTGGATCTACTTTGACAAAGATCATCCTTCATAAATGTGTGGTCTTGGATACTATGCCAGAAAGAAGTATACAGAAAGAGAAATATTCTTATAAAAATGTGGATTCCTTATTAGCTGGAAAATGTATTCTGGGAAAGAAGAAAAAGTATCAAACAGAGAAATTGTATATTTAAGTGATCTCAGCAGGAATAAGAGTACTTAGGCAAATAGATTCAGTGTTAATGAAGGCAAATTTAACAAGCTCTGCATCTTTGATTATTTTGCCTTATGCACGAAGACAAATTCAGAACCCTCAGAAGACTTGATGATAAGAAAATATAAGGTGATTTCGTATTTTTGTATTGCTAATTAGTTCATCCACACACACAAATTAGGAGGCCATTAAACTACCTGACAGTAACATAGAAGACAGTGAAAGAGGTAAGAAGTTGTGGGCCTATACATTAGAAGGTTAATGGCACTTGGGTTTATCATACTCATTCAGATCCGTGTGGTAGATGAGTGTGCAAGCTAAGGGTGACTCACTCTTCAGGGCTTAAAGGAAGCTGCACAGATTTGTCAAAAATTCATATTCCAAAGTATAATTCCTCAGTTGTGCTGTAGAGATGAAAGAACTGCTGGTAAGAGCCAGTTTAGCAGCATGCTCCCAGTAGTGAAGAGACTGGCAAGAACCTCCCACTAGGCTTTTGTAGTAGCCAAGAGCATACTACAGTCAGGAGCATCCACAGCCACACTACCATGTTTTTTTACTGTCTTTACTCCTCCAGCTCAACATCAGTTCTGCTTGAGGTTCCAAAAGCAGTTCAGGGAGATATTATGACTCCTTTCCACCAGCAAAATTTAGAGGATGCCTGCGGTACTGGATGAAACGGAAAACCGCATTTTTAACAGAGCATAGCAAAAGAGCTGGGGACAAGTCTTGCCCTGAGCATCCTTGCCTCAGGATGCTCAGCACTCAGCCAGTTCCAAACTGATATCCCTGCTGTTTGAATGATTTGCATTTGCTTCTACTTCACACTTAAATACAGGCTCATTCTTGAGCAGCTACTACAAACATTCTTCAAAAGCATCTCACACATCTGCCATGGCAGGCAGTGCTGGGTACATTACTCCCCTACTTTTTGTTTGTTTTAATCACACTGAAGAAAAACGGACTGGATGAGCTATAACATCACTTAACCATCCATATGCTCTTCCTCTCATTGCTTTTGCACGTGTTAGAGCTTTTCCTCAGTTAGATATTGTGTCAGTAGACAGCAAAAGGATGCAAGAAAGGCTCATCTTTTCATCAGTTCCAAATAAACTATTCAAACCATTTAACATTTCCACTTTTTTTTTTTTTACTCTATTACAAGAAAGAGTCTCAGATTTTTTCCTGATGTTAAAAGTCTAGGGAAAAAAAAATCTCCTAAGCCCTATTAGATACTCCATCTTTGCTCTGCCTGTGAAGAATATATTTTCAGTTTTTTCTGGGTTTCCATTTTCACTTAATATGAACAATCATATTAACCTTTGCACTGACATTATCTCCTAAAACATCCAGGAAGAACAACTGGCTCATTTGAAAAGTTTACATGAAGTCATGTAGACTAAGACTGTCTCGATTATCTGGTTTGACTTCCTGTAGAATATACATCAGAGCACTACACCCACACATTTTGAATGAGCAACCAGATACCTTTAAAAGGCCATCCAGCTTTTTTATGACAACAGGAGTTTTGGACAGAAGAATCCCTTGTAGTCAAGGACACAATTTGGTCTCACTACATGGAAAGTCTTAGTTTAAGAAAGATGGAGAAGTCCTGTTTTACTTGAATTGAAAGCTGCAATCATTCTCAAAAACAAGTCAGAAAAATCTTCCTAAATGTTTATCTTGCTGCCTTCCCAAGGCAATTTGAAATGCAAAATAGTACACTCTGCATATGCCTAAATCAACATTTAGTGTTTTCACATTCTGTGAATTGTCAAAATGTAAACAACTAATCATTTTTTAAAAATAATTGAATTAACTGTGTCACATTAGTAAGTCATATGATATTAAAAAAATTTAAAAAATTCTCAGGGATAGAACTGAATAGACTCTCTTGCTCTCTGCGTTACCTCAGTGTAGGTGTTTTGGCTAAGAGAGATGAAAATCTGAGCAGCAGCTCGGACTTCCTTGTCCCAGCTTGCTCAGGGAGCAGTGTGCTCATTTGGAGTTTCTGATTTGACTAAATTACATTAAATCAACAGCACAATGGGGAAAACAAGGGAAGCATAATCAGTGAACTATTTAGAAATACTCTACAAAACATTATTAGCAAAGTTTTATTCCATATAATCTGCATCACGAGTGACTAGTGCATTTGTGAATGCTTGTTGAATTTAGAGATTCTTTCTTCCCCAGTGCCTCGTAGAAGAAAAAATATTACCACCGTGTTTTGAAAGCATGCAAAGCTTTTTGTGGGCTAAGCTTGCTTAAAAATTGTCATCACTATGACTAAGACACAGCACTTCTAGTGTTCCCTAATTAAGAGAGTGGCAAACTGACATTTTCAATGTGCAAACAGAAATCAGTCATGACTGTGTAATAAACTCTGCACAGATAAAGGTGGCATTAATAGACAGTATTTCAGATTTTGTTTGTATTTTAAAAAATAAGTGCAAACATTAAAATGACTGAGATACAGACAGAATCTGTGAAGACCCATAAAGCTTTTAGGAACAAAGGTGGATGCAGCTTGCTTAGGGCCTTATAATATGAAATAAACACACATCATCTTTATCCTCAAGTGATCATATCCTTCACTGATGTTCCACAATGCTGAGCTAATTAAAGCTCAAACCTTAATTAGGGTAAAGAATACTTATGCCCTTTATGATATGAAATTAAAAGGAATTTAATTGCTATCATCTGCAATGCTATTTTTCATACTGGATCTAATGATCATTGTGAAACTGTGCATGTGCTTTTGTAATATAAATAATTCAACCGTTTGACTCAGAATTTTTAAATGGAACAAGGACAATTCCACTTGCTGAACTAATGACCTGCAAAATTTCAGATATTGTTAGATATGAAGATGGAAGCAATTCTAAAATTACATTTTCAAAACATGTCTGCAGTACAGCTTTTAGTCTAGTAGAGCAGTAGTTATTTTAGAAAACATCTCTGCTTAATTTAGTAAGTGTCCTTCGTTATCTCATTCTCATTGCTAACACCAGTCTTTCTACTGTGAACAGTAGCTTCAATCTACCCAAGTAACTGTAAAAAATCTTACTGAAAAGACTTTATATCTCTTTCTTACAAAAGCATGCAGTAATTCACAGCAGTGTTTTGTGGTATGCTCATGATGTCAATATTTTAAAAAGAATTAACAAATAGTGGAACTTTCAATTCTGGCATGCTAATTTTTTGATTCTGTAAAGAGGTTTTTAGAGAATGAATTTTAGGACTAAGCAAACCATCATTCAGACATGGGACTGCCACCAATGTACATCAGTGATAAACTTCTCTGGAGACAGAAATTTATCTCTTTCTCTAGGGAACATGGTAGTGGAAACAAATACTGAAAACTGGCATAATGCTAGTAAATTTTGCATCACTTTTGCTGGTTATCTTTCACTCTAAACTAAAGGCTTAAGAAGTTACTCTAGTCCTGTTTTAGGATCAGAGTATGGTGGAGGGGAATCTTGTTAAAACAGAGCTTTGTCTCATCTCTTTTACTCCTCTTCTTCTGCCCTTCCTCCCCAGCCCTTGCCTTCTCACCCCAGCAGAGAGAAAGCAGAACAACAGTTCTGAGGGTGAAGGCTTGAAGCAGGTGAAGCTTCTGCTGGAGTGTGTTCCAAGAGTTCAGAAAAAAGTGTGAGCTCAAGTTACCTTACCAAGTTGTGATTCCTCCTTTCTCATCCTCCCTTACAGCAGCACAGAAATAAACCAGGAAAAGCATTTAATTTCTCCTTCACTCTTTCCCTAAATGACTGGGAACTCCCAGTGTAACACAAATTAACCGGGCCTTTCCATAAGAAGCTTGAAATGTCCAGGTGGGCATGGACAGCAGTATGGGCTGATACCCCTTTGTGTAGAAGGGCTAAATATTTCTACAGCACAAAGCAGCAAAAAATATGAAACCAGGTCTTTCTTGTTTCAGAAACTAAGGGATGCTACCTGGTTCATACCCACACATATAGTAGGAATATTTTAGAAAAAAGAAACTAAGCAAAGAAGCCTGAGCAAAAAAAGTCAAACAAAACAAAGAACAACAAAACCAAACACCTCACCAGAGTTACCCCGGACAAATACTTTTAAATCTTCAGTACTTTCCCATGTTTTCTCAATGTATTAGTTAAGCCTAATTCTTTTGGCTTAGATTCCAAACAAAGGCAGGATCTGACCTGACTGATGCAGAAAGGCTTTGGTAGTTTTAAAATAAACTCAACTGGAGCACACTTCAAGAGTTAACAATGTAATAGAGAGGAAGGAGCACTGAGGTTAAGGTTAAGGGCAGCACCACAAGGATAACAGGCTGAAAATAGGAAAAGAAAAATGTTAAGGCTGACATTAGGAAAACATTTATTATCATGAGGGTGATTAGATAATGGAATAATTTCCCAAAGGAAGTTGTTGAGTCAACCACTAGAGGCATTCAAAGGAAACCGAGATAAAAACACCAGGCGATTGATCTGGAGAGCAGTCCTGCACTAATGACCCAAGAGGTTCTTTCAAACTCATTGAGGATTCTCCTCTTGAAAGCAACAATTCTGAAATTTATATAGCAACATGTGAACAAAAAGTAGATGAAAAACATTTCACAAAGCCAGAAAAAACACTTAATCAAAGCCTTTTTTTCAATTTAACATGTATTTTTCCTCTTTAGTACCAATAATCTGAGTCTATGTATACATTCATTACTTCTAAGAACTCCTAACACACATTGATTAGCCAGGTGACACTGAGAAGATACATTTTCCGAAGAAATTATAGGAGCTGTGAAACTTGCCTTATGAAACACAATGGACATCATGAAGAAATCCAGCAAGAAATTTTCTGAAATGTCTCTGTAGTCAAATCGGAAGAAGATCACAGTAAAGCTCAAAGTAACAAATTGATTAATAGGATTACAGAATGAGGAGCGGAGGAGCTTCATCCCAGCAACTGTTATCAGGATAATGTCACAGCTGTAAGAAAAACAGAGAAAAACCCAATCAAGTCATAAGCCATTAAATTAAGAAGCTCTTAAACACAAGTATCTGTACCGGATGTATTTGAGATTCCTATGCATATCTAAATCTACATATCTTATTTATTAAAAGGATACAGAAGTAATAACAGAAATCATCACGTTTATTTTACTTATGTGAAATTTTGTATTTTTCCCTTATCATTATGACACATTTTTAAGTTGTAAAAAAACCCGGACTCTGTACTAAAAAGAGTAGTAATGACTACTAAAACCCAAGAATCCACACCAAACATTTTTATATCCCTCTTAAAATAAAATTTCTGTCCAGGAAAACACCTTGGCACTTTCATTAATATATTACTGTAATTTGAAAAAAAAAGCAAAAACCCTTAAACTATTTTTTTCTTATTACAAGAAATTTCACTTAATGACAGAATTTATAATTTTACTTATAATTTCATTATGCACTGCCAAAATTCTGGATAGAAACCATATAGATGTGAAGCGTTTGAAATTCTTACCACTGTTCTTGATCAGAAAGTTAACTATTCTATATGATAATTCATCAGATGAAAAGAAATTGTGTGGCACCTATGTCTTCCAAGACATGGAGACTTCAGTGGTTAATGAGTGAGAAAGTAAGCCAGGTATTTGCAAAATGCATAGAAGGTTCTCCTTCATCCAGCTGCTAAGCAGAATACCTGCTGCCATGACTGACACTTGGCAGGCTAGAAAGCTCACAACAGGTTTTCACCATCCTAGCAAGATTCTTATTTTCCAGGCTGATTTTATTTTATGTGGCATTTATTCATTATTGTGTATCTCCTGTAATGCAAATGCACTTTATTTTGGGTGCTGGTCATTCTAAAGGATCAGCAGGGCATTACTGTTGGAATGAAACACCAAGCTGACCTTATTTTCCACCTTGTCAAAGCTGTTCTTTTCAATTTGCCCCACGTTTCTGAATGGAAAAATCTAACGACTAAGCTAATTAGATTCTGCAGCCCCCAGAAGCCATCCCAGCGTATACTATATGAACCAGTTGTACATCTCTTTCTTCAGAAAGAAGAAAATTCTTGCAACCTGGAGAATTTTCACATGGAAACTTACAGATCATCGAGCAAAAGGAAGACTTTTTTTGTCACTGTGCCTGCTACCATGATGAAACTTTCACCAAAAAAAAATGATACATTACAAAATAATGCATTCAGAGATAATGGAAAATAATTCGCTCATTATTCCTTCCTCCTTAAAAATACTGCCACAAGTGGCTTTTCCTGGGGCCTTAATTCCTGGGAAAAGATATAAGGGAGCATGAGAAGGGGGGCTGATTTCCAGTGCCTCCTTGTCAGGTAACAGGGCCAGGCACTGTCAGCATGAGTCCTGTTAATAACCAGCACATCAGGGTCTAGAAAGCTTAAGCAAACTCCTGACTATAAAGGAGCTGTTCTGCCTACTCAAGAAGCACACTGCTGCAGTCCTTTAAATCACTAAGAAAGGTGAAGCTTCTTTAAAAGATAAATTCAATTTTAGGGAAACTCTGACACCAAATCACACAAAATGTACCACCTCAGATGCTTTCAGACACAGAGTGGGAGAGTGTCTTCCCTTCCCTACAGCATGATGGGGTCTGATCCTTGGGTGGTCACTAACTAAGGAATGTTCCAGCAACAGAAAACAGAGATTTATGCATTAAAGCACAGCAAGTACAACCCTCAGTAGCACTGTATATGGAAGTAGCAAGGATAATCCAGGATCCCTCATGGGTTTACAGAGTTAGCCCCCGAGCTAACTCTGTAAACCGGTGAGGGTTAACAGAGTTAGTTAAGAGGTAGGATCTGAAGATGAGTGCTTTGTGTGTGGCATTTGGATGGCAGCTGTAGGGAGAATGTATTAAAGAAAAGTGCCAGAGGAAAAGGGAGTTTCATGGATAGACCAGAGTTACAAGGAAAAGGAGAAAGCAGGTTTTACACAGGTGCTCACACAGACACAAGGGGGATGGGGAAGGAAAGGACTGCTGTGGTATTCCCCCACAGGCCAAACAATCAGAGACAGACAAATGTAATTACTTTCTTTAATCTCAAGACTTCTGGGGGTCTGACTCATTTCTTCTGAACACTTGAGGGAGGTGATACTTTAAAGTGTAATCTAGCTTGGAGGAATGACTATGTAAAAATAGCACCTTCCTAACCCTACATATTTGCTCCGTGCATGTATTCAGTCACGTCTGCTAGCTAGTAAAAAATGGCATTCTGACTACTTTTAATTCTCTCAGCCTTGCAGAACTAAATAGAGAGAGGAGTGTGGCTTCAGTGTCACCCTGGACAATACACCTGAACTCTTGAAGCACTTTGGCTGTAGCATCTTCCAAGTACCTGGGGGTAAAAAAGGTCAGTGGAGATACAGAGGTTATCAATGAGTGACTGACAAGAGTCTTTCTGGAAAAGTAGTTGTCTGTGGGAAATACGCAGAAAATTTGACTAATGCCCTAGTCCAAGTTTCAACCCCTAAAAGCAGAGGCTGCCCTCTCCTTATAGTTGTGTAGTTCCTAAAGCTGTGTTGCTCCTCAAGAGAGAGAAATAATTAACACACAATTTTTACATCAAAGTTCTTTTATCTAATATTTGAAATTAAAAATCTGAATTATTATGGATACCGAGGAAGTCCTCCCCACCTCCCAGCATTTTTTCTTGTCACTGGAACATTCCAAGGCTGTTTCTTTGTTTTATCATCTGCATCACTGTCATTCTGATAAAAAGACTGCAGAAACTCTGCTCACTGGGGATACTGCAGTCACTAAGCCTGCTGAATATCTGCAGTAGGCAAGTCACTGACTAAAAAACTTACCATAAAAGGCTGTCTGCAAGGATCATACTGTGAGACCATGGATCAGCACCACCAATTCTGCTTAATATCTAAGACATAAGACTTCATCAAAACTTGTACCCCACCTTTCTCAAACCACTCTTAATGCAGGACTACCCACCTTTCTACAGTGTTTAATATTTTACTCAGCCTTTAAAGACTTGTGTGGTGAAGCTTCTGATAACTCCTTTGGGAGTCTGCGGCATAGCGTTAAAAATCCTCAGTTAGGAAATGTTTCCTGATATCCAGCCTAGATTTCTCATTTTCATCTGATTAATTCTAGTTACCCCACTGAGTTTATGCCCATCAAACACCTGCAGCCCGGTATAGTGTGTCTTGCCTTTAATTGACATTTAGACCTTCCATATATATCTATATATAGCTCTTTAATCTTTTAATTTCACTCTCTCACTGGAGACATATTTTAGTGTACTAAGGTAGTTTCGCATTTTTCTTGCAGCAAAACCAATTATTATTGTATTTTGAACTAATATGCATGAAAGCAAACTGCGACGAGATTACAGACTTATTTTAAAACAAATTCCATTTCTCAGTTTTCAGTCTAAAACCAAATATTCTACTAATCACATGCTCTGAGTTATAATCTACTTACTGTGTACCAAGCTTCTTGTATTTACTAATTGAGAAAGCATCAATGGTGAGTGCATTCAGTATTATAGCTGGATATAAAATGTATTTCTCAAAGCACTGTAGCCACACATAAAGCCTTTCAAACCACATCAAATGAGCAGCATCTGAAATGGAAATTCAGATAACAGTTTGTGTCATCAAATCATCAGCATTTTTTGCACTGGAGTACCGCAGAAGACACTAATTATCTCACATTAATACATATAGTCGACCAACTAATTTATGAAACAATGGAATTCATAATTCTTTGGCAATAGAGAAATGATTTTGTTCTCTGAGTTTAGAGCATATCTGTTTTGCTGCTTATAACTGCACTACTGAGACAATAAAAGATAGTACATGCTAGATGGTAGTTTTTATATCATCCAGTTCTTCAGTCAGTATATTAAATAGCACTCTCAGTGGATGTAATGACCCCAGAGATGCCATCTCCAGCTCTGGCACTGACCTGCTGAATCACCTAGGAAACCTCTTCTGAGCTCTGTGCCTCTACTTACCCATCTTACAGTAGCAAAACAAACTATTCATTAGACTGTACCTCACTGATAAATGAAACACGCCTTGAGATCTAAAGATTGAAGAATTATCAGGAGCTAGAAACTGTAATAGATGTTTCTAAAACACTTAGACACTGTGAGAAGCATCACATCTCACATCATTCCTCTCTAAGGAATAGCCTTTTTTTGCAGTAGACTTTACTAACAATACCACAGTGCTTAATAGGAGTATTAAACAAGAACAGAATGCTCTGTGCAATTCAACTGCTATGAGAACTTAGGTGAACTGAGTGCAGAAGCACTTGTGTACAGACAAAAACAACGCCTTTTTCCTTAAAGCTCAGCTAGACAAGGTTATTGGAAAAACAGTGAACACAAAAAGGCAGACCTTGGTACTAACTCAGAAATAAAAATGCCAGCTACTGAATAGCCAATAATCATCCATGCAAAATGAAAACAATTATATGTAGACAGCCCCTCTTCCATATACACCTTTTCAATGACAGTAAAGAAGACATGCTGAATCAATGGATTTCTGTGTTCTACAGGCTAGCTGTATATTGCATAGGCTAAGAGAAAAATCTAAAAGCAATCCTAAATTAGGTTGAAGTCATACTTTGCCAGTACCTTAAGCTAAGGCAATGCTCTTGAAAAATCCCCCTTCAGAAAATATAATTAAATTCAGTTTCTTGCTATAACATAAAAATATTTCCTCTTCATTACCTAAAGGCCACCTCCTGAAAGTTCATACACACAGCAAAATGTCCATTTTGGAACCTAGCTGTTCTTCTCCATCCCTCTCTCTTCCAACTCCCGCTGAGCTCAAGAGCTTCAGCCATGTCCAAAGCTGAGCTCAGTGTAAGAGCTTAAGCTTCAGTAAAGAGATAAGAATATCACACAAACCAAACAGAAGGTAGGTGCAGGAGCAGAGTGAGGTCTGTTCAGACAATGGAGACAGAAAAAAGAGCTCACATTCAGAGGGGCCCCAGGGAAAGACGTGGATGATTTGAAAATGGCTTACACAAACCTGTGCGGTATAAAAGCAGTAGTGGGGAGGAAGGAGAAGACAAAATAACCCACTATATCAGGGTTTCTTTCTCATTTAGTCCTGCACTAGTTTCTACACATCTATTGTACCATAAGCTCATACATCTTGACCTAAGCCTTTCATCCTGCAGCCAGCCAAGCCAATGGCAATAACTGAGTTATCTCACAGGGGCATCACAAGAACTGGTCTGATAATCATCCAGAGTCTATGCAGCAAAGTCAGGAACAAGCCTGTGGAGCTGTCACTGTCAAATAGCTGTTAGTCTGATTGGAAGCAGTCATTTGTCTTTCAATAGCACTACCCTTGTAAAAAAAAAGGATTAAAATTAAAATCTATGCAGTTAAAACTCCTTACAGACATCTTATTTTGTGTATTTGTCCTTTCACTGTCCATACCTGACAATTACGGGGTACTACTGTCCTTTTTCCAAGTTTCTCTTTCTATACAAACAGGGAACATTTTAATGTTTAGTTCCTACATTTTTATTACAGGACAAAAGAAAGAACACAGCCTGTCAGACATATCTATCAAAGGGATTACCTTTTCCACAGTCTGTCTCATCTCAGACATGATAAAAAACCTCTGCAGCTGCCTAAGGGCCTGAAATATATATATATATATATATATATATATATATATATATATATACATGTTTTTTTCTTTTTACTCTTGTTTTCTAACACACAACACCAGCTACATTGCAATAATACTTAGAAACCAAAGTACTGGAATGGACCACATATAAATGAGTACTGTAAAAGAAGAAAAAGAAGCCTGTTCCCCACAGTGAGCAGCATGAGAAATGCAGCTGGATCTCAAAACAGAAGGAAACCCATCTGTGGAAATCAGTCCAGCAGGTCTCTACCTTCAACCTTTTCAAATGCTGAGTCACTACATTTAGGAAAACAATGTTTCTGACAAATGAAGACAGACTTAATCAGGACAAGACAAATAAATCCTACAGTGGTCTTTTATGATTAAGTGCTGAAACAAACAGTGCAATTGGGTATTTATCAGAATTACTAGTTATCAGGGACAGGAAGTCCTGGACACTGTTTTCAGCTGGGCATGGTGCTTAATAATACTTGTATGTCTATTATACCTACCTTGCCATATTGCAGTGAAAGTTATAAAGCAACCTTCAGTCAAGTCTCTTGGGTACTTTTTTTCATACCCAACCCTTGTATGGAAAGTAATCGTTGTGAAACTCATAATTTTTTTAAAATAAAAACTATTTAAATCCTTAATGTTTGGTTTTCCTGGGAGTGATCTTAACTCTTTTGTGGTCTAGTTGAAGAACAGACTAAAGTCCCTCAACAGATTGTTCTGCAAATGCTGCCTTCAAACACTTCAGAAACATATTGAGAATTATTAAGGCGTGGGATCCATCAAGAAAGGACAAGCAAGCTTTTAGCTGGTAGCAAAGGCAAGAAGAGAGCTGGGGTGGAAGGGGGAAGCTTTGTTTCTCAAAGCACACTGCCTGCTTCAGAAATAACTCTGTCAGAACAGGAAGTCAGATCTCGACATACTAAAATATTGACTGATATTCACATGCATCAAGGCACTACACACTGAAGCCAGCAGACATCAGCAAGAATAAATCTCAAAGATAATTTCAGTTCTTTTCAGTTCTCATGTTTTCTACAAAAGCGTTACAATTGAAATTCAAACCCTTAAAGTGCACTACATTTGCTGATATGTCAGAAATTAGAAAAAAAATCTGCCTCAATTTCATCAATCTTTTAAGTTTTCAAATTATATAGAATGCCAATGTATTAGACATGAACTATACCATGTCAAGCAACAAGTAACAGTACTGTAATGCAACACAAAAGGCAGATCAGACAGTGGCTCATGAAAGATCACATAGAGGCTGTGAAATGATTAAGGGACAGGAACATTCAACATAGGAGAAACAGAGTGCTGGGATTGCTTAACTTGAAGAAGAAAAAGCCTTGGGGGCATCTTATTAATGCCTGATTGGCAGCATTTTTGGGGTATAAATACCTGATGGGGGAAGGTAATGTTGATGGATGTTGGTGTTAATTTTTCACAAACAGGACAGGACTGCCAGGTGACACATCACAAGCTTTTATTTGGGCACCAATCTCAGCTGCAGATACAGGAGGTGGCACAAGCTCACGTCTGCCACAAGCAGCTTTGTTACTGAATATTTTAAAGGCTTTTCAGCCAATAGCATATTGCTAAAGCTTACAGACAATTGTTCTAGCCAATCACTAAAAGCACACACACACCTGCTTCAAACAACATTTGCTTCTTTGCTTTCTATTAACAATACACAATACTCTGTTATTTAGCTTAAAACTTTCTATCTTGGTAAGCATATTTCTCTGAAGCCTTAAGGTCTATCTTAGCCAAGCCTAAAAACTCAACTATTGTTTCATGTCCTTGCATATTGTATTATTTTATCTTCTTTACTTTCAGGCTTTGCAGCTGAAGCTAGCTCTAAGTTCTCTGTTTTCTCTTTTCTGAGGCCTATTTTCACACCTTCTGAAAGTCTTCTTACCTTTACTGTTTCCCACAATGGAGCCACTCTGTTCTCAGCAGTGGCCAGTGACAGGACAAAAGGAAATGGGTGCAAATTGAAAATCCATTTAAACAAAAAAATAGCCACCAAAACCCACAAAAATAAAAAAGTAGGGAAAAAACCCAAAAAAACCCTAAAAAAACACCCAAACATCACAATTTGAAGAAATCTTTCTTACTGTAAGGATGACTGACTGCTATTATAGAATGTCCAGAAAGGTTTTAGAGTCTCCATGCTTGAAAATATTAAAAACTGGACACAGCCCTGAACAATCTGCTCTAGCTGACCCTGCTCAGCATCAGACCAGACATCTCCAGATGTGTCTGCCTGGCCTCAGCCCATCTGGGCAGTGGCCTGAGAAGACAATTCCTACAGGTTCACAGATCTGCTGGTGATGAGGAGTAAAAATTAAAATGATCACATATGTGCGCTACTCAAAAGTAAAAGGATAATTTATTCCCACAGCCCTGTTACTTCTAGATTTTTTTTAATTTTTTTTTTGTTTTGTTTTGTTTTGTTCTTCAAACCAGGGCAAGCTGGAAGTCACTGTATCTACCATTTAGAAAAGACTGTATTACAAACCTCTCACTTCCCGCTGCTGGTGCTCTTTGCTTTTGAGTATGGGGTGGGAGATCCACAGCCAGGGGTGATGCTTGCGGAGCTGAGGGAGGATGTAATGTGTTACAAATCCCACTGTCCACGCCAAAGCAAACAGGACAATGCTGAGAAATGGCTGGGCCAAAGCAGGAAAAAAGGAAACATAGTTAGAATTTGCATACAACATCTATATATTTTTTCTTTTTTTAAAGCATTTTTTGACACTTTCTATAATTGTATTTTTGTGCCATTCATTTTTATTCCTATGTTCAAATTCTTGACTCTAGGTGAATATGGATTTTGAAATGTGTGTTTTGCACACACAATCAATCAATTTTTTTTCCTCTGTGATTGAAGGAAAAAAGGCAAAATGTCAGGCTTATTCATTCTGTCCTCTAGGTTCCATATTGTAAGAGCTGTGGAGGTTTAAGCAAAGAGGTGTCAAATAAGTAACACTGAAATTAATACAAATACCCAGAAACTAACTGCTTTGCAGATATGATAATGTTATCATGACCAATAAATACATTTTCACTAACTTCTCTTCCCACAGTGTCTATTCTTTCCAGTTAAAGCACCCCTGTGGTTTTGCATAAGAGACATAATACCTTAGGGGGGGATAAAAAAAGATAGATACACACCCTTAATGACAGGAACACAGTACTGGCACTGACAGCAAATGACAGAACAGCAGCTGCCGTGCAGACAATGAGATCCGATTTCAAGATTTCTTTCTGTGAAAATAATTATTTTACACAAAATTAGTAAGGCAACACTGTTTTAACCAAAGTAAATTACTCTGTTCTCAATTACTTACCCTTCTGCATTGTGATAAAGCTAATCAGCACTCCCTAATACAAAAGTATTTTCTCAACTCTGCTTTGGGAAATTATTTCTCCACATGCCAGGTTTGCTGAAGTAATCACATTTAAATTCTTCGTGCCTAATTTTGAATTATATTTTTAAATAACAAAATTATAATACTGGAGAAATGAAAGCAATACATTTTAATACTGAATCTGATTCTTCTTGAGGAGTGTAACTCTTTTCCATTATGACTTTCTTATTTTTGGGCATCAAAATTCTGCTTCCATTTCCTATTTTCAAGAACTAATATTTTTATTCCCTTTCTCTTGCAATATTGAAAAAAGTCATGCTTCTCCATAATGTCTTCTAAGACACAACATTAATACATTTATTATGTTCTAAATATTATGACATATCCCAGTCTCTGATTGTCTTTATTGGAAGTAAAATTGCAGCAAAATTTTCTGGATTTTAGACAAGGCTTTTTTCCAGTGTCATTGAATGTTAATGAAATGTCTGCCTTTATGTAAAGATCTGTAACTATGGTAGGAGTAACTTTGTTTCTAAAGATTGGAAATATCACTGTCTTTACAGCACATTTTTCTTGTTATTAAAATGTCATTCTTGGTAAACAAATAAACAAGATAGCTTGTGATCTGCGTGGTCTTCTGAATTGTACTTCAGAGGTCACCCAAATGCTTTTGTGAGTAAATGAAAATCTTGTCTTAGATTTATGAGAAGGGCATTTAGGTTCAGCACTCAATACTGCTGCTAAGTTACCAAACGAGAAACTATTTGCAGCTCTTGATTTAGAAGCTGACTTATGCTTTAATTCAAAGATACCTTGAAACAACACGTGAAAAGCAACACTTTTGTTAGAACCAGTGGTTCATCTGACTTCCTGGTGGTGCAATTTAGGTAAGCTTAATGTATCTCATCAGAGAAAAAGAAAGAAAACTAAAATAATGATGGTAAGGCAGATCTACAAATAAAGGAGATAAAAAGAAAGCAAGCAGAACAAGTGAAGAACAGAAGGGCTGCGAATTACCGGGGAAGCTGGTAGCAACCTCTATATTTAGGCTGCCTATCACTCCCTGTTATGAAAGATGCTTCTCAGTAAAAGGTCACCAGCATCAGCACTTCCACTTACTGCAGCAGGACTAAAAAGCCTTCAGGCTCTGAAAGTACTTTTGTTTTGTCCCAGGAAACTCCAATATGGCTTAACTGAAATCTCAAGTGACCACCACGGTCTTTGCCCTTCCCAGGCTGCTCAGGAGCATGTACATACCTCCAAAAAAGAGGTGATCCCTCCACTCTGAGATCTATCCTTCCCTGGACAGCCCTGTACTCTGCATGGGCTACATGTGCTGGGAAGGTATGGGAGCAGAGTTAGGTCTTTGTAACTCTCCTGACCATCTTTTCAAAGCACAGCTCGGCTAACCTCGCCCCTTGGCTGTTGTGTTTAACAGAAGAACCACAACATGAGAGAGCCCACAGGAAAAGCCTTCTCTTCCCTGACTAAACCTTTGCTCTCTGCCTGGCCCCACAGGTCTTCTTTGTTAAGTTCTCTCTATTCATTTCTCTCACAACTTTCTCTTATTAGCAAGTAGCAGTACTGAAAAAACACGGTCTAATAAAAATGAGTAACGAAATTATTATCATGAAATGGAGATGATGTTTTTAACCTTTCCAGATATTTTTAAAGATATTGCATACAAAATCTATGTGAAACAGCAGTATCTGAGAAAATTAAGCAGTGTCAAATTTATATGGCACTATTTCAGCCCTTTTGTGAATACACAGCATGAAAAGTCTTGATCAAGTATCATTTTCTGCACAGCTGAATTCAACTACTCAATAATCTAAACCTTCTAAGAACAGCAAACACGCTCCAATCACATTCACAAGCTCTTCTGTACAGCCCAAAAGGCTTAATATTAGAATTACTGATTCCTCTCACAGTCAGATGACTGAAGAAGCTGACACTTTAAAAAAACATGTAAAATATTAGGAATTTAGCTGTAAAATCAGCAGAGGTGATAACGAGGCATATTTTGGGGAGAGATGGTATCCTAACTTGCCATTCTGGGCCAGATCACCAAAGAGAATCTTTTCAAACATTACATTACATTACATTACATTACATTACATTACATTACATTACATTACATTACATTACATTACATTACATTACATTACATTACATTACATTACATTACATTACATTACATTACATTCAGAAGGGAACATATTACACAAATTATATTGCACAGGACTTGTATTTCCCATCTTTATTTTGCAATGAATGATGTCCTTTTTACAGTGCTGTCATCCCTTTTGACAATCCTATACAGAAAAAGGCCTATGTTTTTAAGGAAATTATTATTATTCAAATATTCAACTCCAAATTTGACAATTGCTTTCCATTTCTGGCAATGTTGAAAGTGTTTAAAGGGTCATATAGGCCCAGGCTTCTTCTTCTGCCCTTGAACTGAACTGTTTCAAAATGTAAATATACTGCTCAGCTTCTGACTTGCACAACGGTCCCCACAGGAGCTCCCTCTTCATGTGGCCAACGCTTTCAAGCTTCTCACAAAATTCAGGCTTTTTTCCTTCTAAAACAAAGCTGAGCAGTGGTTGCTTCTGTTCTGTGTCACTGCACAGGGCACAGGGTCCCCCAGGAAATGGCAGTGTTCTCTCTGGACGAGAGGGACTCACTGCTACTCTCCAGGAGAAATACTAGGGCATCTACCTGCTGGGGGTGGATCTGCAGCTTCTGCCTTCCTGTGGAAGGCAGCTAGCTCCTGAAAAGCACATGCCTACCTTGGACCTAACTGGCTAAAACAGATTTTTGGATGTCATTCCCAAGGCCAGGAACTTAGGAGTTGAATACTGAATTGCTCTATGGCATGATGCTTGAGTCCTTCATTGCTGTATTCACAGTTCAAATCCCTCCTGTGAGAGATAGTCACTTCTAGCTCAGACTGAAAGCCATTCTACACTCTCCATTTTACACTCAAAGGAAAAAAAAATTCCCAAACCAATATGGCTACCTTTGATGCCTTGAGGATTTCACAAGCAGAATATATTAGACTGGCACTTTTTTTTTTGTTTTAATTATTATCACAGAATCATAGAATTGTTTATGTGGGAAAGATGTTTAAATCACCAAATCCAACCATTATTTTCGATTAGATTTTTTGAGCTTTGCATAAATCCTTTTATTAGCTGTCTAAATGTTTGTACTAAAAACCAGGAAGGAACCTTGAGTTTGAATGTAACACATCATCACCCTCAGGCCACTGCTTAATCTAGTAATCAGCCATGTGGATGCCTACAGAAATTAATTATAATGGTAGGAAGCTCCATTCTCAAAGCTGAATGGTCAATTATCGATCACAGCTGCTTCATAATTCAGGCTTCCGAAGCTGGCAATTCTTACACAGCTATTCAAGGAAAAGAAAAGGGTAAAAGTCGTGCAACTAAACATTAGGATGCTGTATTTATTAACATCCTAACATCAATGCAAAGCCACCCAGAAAACAATACATTAATTTCCAATATTAACCTTATTTGCTTTCAGCTCCTTGAGAAAGCAATTTGGTTCTGTACGCCTCTGGCTTTCTGATGAAAATGGACCTTATTTAAATGGTGTTATGTAGACCACGTGTTACCAAGGCAAGGCTGGCTTGTGTTGCATCCTGCCATCTCTTGCCACTGACAGGGGTTAGGAATACTCTCTTCACAGAGGAGCACTTCAAGAAAACATGAGCTACCATCATGAAACCTCTTCTGAATACTGATATATTGTTTCAACCAGCTTCTGAACCATTTGAAGATCCCCTTACAAAACTTCTGGAAATTATTTTAAATTGGCTTTGAAGAGTCAGCCGAATCCTACATCCTAAACATGTCTGCTATAGCTGAAGCAAGTCAGAAGGGAATATGGCTTGATTGTGCTCCTTGAACTCTATGCACGTGCATTTTCTCCTGCCTCAGTTCTTCCCTACTTGCCCTATTAGCACTGCATTGCTGAGATAGCAGTGGGAGTCTCCTTGGTGTTTAACTGAGATAGAGGTACCAGGTAACACAGGGGTTCAACAAACAGCACACATTAATCAGAAATTGCCCTCTCTTTCTTCAGCTAATTTCTTCAAAATTAGCACTGCTAATTGACATCGTAAGCAAATACTTTTGCTTACAGTTTTTATACAGATTGAAGGAAGCCCAGACAGTGGGGAAAAACAAAAAAAGAAGGCAAAGAACTAGCAAGCTCCAACAACACTGAAGGAAAGCAGCCTCCACCTAATAGCAGCAGCAGCATGGAGTATCGAATGTACAGAGCAAAAAAGTGCCAATTCCCTAATCCAGGTATTTTCTGGAGAGCAATGGTGCCAGGAAGCCCACTTAATTTATCCTAAAAGTGCGACAAAATGTGTCAGGAATGAATCACTGTGAAGAGAAGAACTGAAGTCCTGTGTCTGGCAAATCCCAATGCAGTTATGCCTATACTTCTGCATCTTCCACCCCATTGACTCAAGGGTCCAAGTGCAGCTGAGCAGTGTTAGTGTAAGACAGCAGATCCCTGTCATTGTCACTGATATAAAAATTGTTCATCTGCAGAATTACTCCATTTTGAAAATACAGCCAGGATCTTAGATGTAGATTTTTTCCACTATTTCTGGGTTTTGTTTTCAATATATTAAAGCCTTGCTCAAGGTTTTCCTCTGCACTGCGAAATGAAATCAGTTAGGTGGACAGCTGCAGTAACTGCTTCAGTCCCCAGGCTGGGCTCCATCTGCAGAACAGATGAGATCAGACTCTGTACTTCTCCAAGAAAGGCACTATCAGCAAAAGACAGAACTACAGGAGCATGAGAAGCTTTCCATTACATCTGCCATACAATCCCTGTATACAAGAATGGAATGTCAATGAACCATGGCAATGACCTACACACCACAAATACCACAGAATACAGCAAAATTCTAACAAAAATACTTTGCTTTTTTACTCTGTTTCTAGATGCACGTTCATATTCCAGTATCAACTGTTGCAAACAGTTTGCAAGAAACTGTACAAGCAACAAGAAACAGCCATATCACTCAATCTTATGTAGGCCCTGTTAGAGGACCAAGTTTAAAATAACACTATACATGGTAAAAATGACAATCTAAGCAGCAGCTTAGTAGTGTGGGATAAATGCATATGCTGAATGTAAGCTGTGTAACGTCTCACAAAATGCCTAAGAAATTATTCAAGATGTACATGAGAGATACATCCCTTTGAAAGAACATCTGGAGGCCAGTAGGAACTATGGACTCCCAGGTCATGTCTAAGAGTCAAAAAAGGCAGTCTGTCTTCCAGAGACTCTCTGAATGCTCTTGGATTTCAGAGAGAATTCAGAAGTTTAGGAATAGCTGTCTAGGTTGCTTGGATGCAGGTGCTGGGGATGTGGTCAAGAGGAAGAGCTGTCTGACAGCCAGGAAGCAGGACAGTTCACATGACTAATAAATGTCAAACACCCCTTAGCATTTCTGGAAACTTGATGATCTTCCCACATGAATGCCTTATAAGATCAACCTCCCCTGGGTAACAGTAATTTTTTTTTTTTAATATAAAAAGACACAAAAAGGAAGATGGGTCACTTTGCAGTGTTTATGCTGAAGTGAGAAATAAGCTGACACAAACTTAGAGCTTCTGCCAGACAGTAGTAAATAAACAGCCTGCCAAGCAAAGAAGAGATGATGAGATGGCAATGCTTGGCACCAGGCATGTACCTCCCTCTCCCATACCACCCCAGTTTCATGTGCTTCTTCCATCCCTAAGTGCCAAGTCTGACAGTGTTCTCCACTTGGCTCAGCTGGGGTGGAGAGCACACAGTCAAGAGTATTTCCTGGCACAGAAAAGGCATTTCTGAAAAACAGGTAGCCTTAGCCATAGAAAAATAAAGAATTAGGGCTGCTTTAAACACATGTAATTCTGTGGACTGAATCCTCTTCCTCTCCAGCACAGACAGAGAATTTGGCAGGACTGATCATCTCTTTGAATGCTTGTTGAACAATCCAGCCTACCTTGGACACACCAGATTGCCAGGCTGTAACTCTGTGCATAGAACCTGCATCAGTTCTCTCTGTACTAGGATGAGAGAAGCCCCTCTCCCCAAGCTCTAAGAGTGAATTTCCCATGGACTATGTTAAAGAATCAAGGTGGCAGAGCCCTTCAAAGGAGCCCTTCAGAAAGGAAAATTACATGTATCCCCCTTCCCACTGCTGGCCTCACCATAAAGATCATCTATCTGTGCCTTTAGTAATTTAAATTGCAAAATGACAATATTTACAAGGTTCCTCAGTGGGCAAAATAGATATGAGATAAGAGAGAGCGCTTTGGACAGAAAGTAATGAAAGAAAAGGCCTTACCACTGATTCTCTCATTTTTTCTGGGAGTGGATCTTCTGATGAATCTTCAAATCGTTGGCGTAGATAGTGAGGGACATATTTACACTGAATAAGGGACCTGTTTAATAAAGAAATTCCTAGTTAGGATACTTCTGAACATGTGCAACAGATATTCCTGAATATTCCTTGAATATTCCTGAAGGACAGAGGAGGAAGAACAGCCTCAGAGTTCCTTCTTCATGCAAACATTCTTATCTCTGTACAGCTGGAGATTGACACAAACCAGCTCTACCTGCGATCAGGACAGAAATTCCTCATCAGAATCCTGAGGAATCTCAACAGCCCAATCAATGTGACTCAGTCATTTTGATGAATGAGCAGACAGGGTACTGTTACATTTATGACTCTTATTTCTGTTTCAGCTAAGCTGAAACCAATGAGAACTCTTTAGACCCATGTTAAAATGGGCAAGGAAGCTAATTCTGTACAAACTGTATGTTCATTTTCTTTTCTAGATCTATGTACTACCTCCTCATCCATCTTGAATTTTATGCCATAGGCCATTCCTTAAACACTTTTTCCAATCTCCTTATTTAAAAGAAGTTCAGAGTTGTTTAAAAAAAAATCTTAAATATCTTTTTTTGAAGATTACACATTTTTACAGTTGCACAATAAACATTTGATGTTGTTGTACATGTATTCTTAATTTTTAGACTTTTTAACAACCATTTCAGTTGCTGAAGATAAAACTGAGCTGTCTGTGAAGCAGAATTCCAAATGGCATGGTGATACTGGCTGCACAAAACCCACTTGCTTGCTCAGCCCCACAGCCATAGGTGTAATTGCCCAGCTGCTTGCTGACCTCCACAGCTCCTATAACAGCCATATATCACAGTTTCCTCACTGGGAAATTCACATTTTCTGTCCCCGAGCAATGGATCTCTTGGGTCTCTCTCTCACACATCACCTCATCATGCAGATCACAATGTTGGGACTTCTTCCCTTCATCTCCCTTGTTTGCAATGTCAGCTCCTAGCATACACTTCCTTTCCTCAGTTACCTCTAACAAACTGTGTCAGAGAAGAAAATACAGGATGGTACCTCAGACTGAGAGGCATAGCCTACTGTAGGAATCCTCAGCAAGAGCTGGAATTCAGCCATCTTCCCAGCACGTCAAATGTCCCTTCTCCTGGCCCCAGTGCTACCCAATGCACATTCTGCAACTCTAGTCGCCTGAACCCCCCTCAGCTACATCACTGTCCTCCAACCTGCCAAGCACACAGCCTCCCAGAGGGGAAAATCTGCTTCAGAGATTTTGGATAGCGCTGCTTAAAAAGCACCAGCCCTGCTGGTGATCTGACTGCAGCACTTCATTCATATACATGACCGATACCGACCATGCAGACATGGCGAGGAATTTCACCTCCCCACAGTACTTTCAGGAAGCAACCCCTGTGGTTATGAAACCCAGGCAACACTCTGGCTGTGTGCTGTACAATCAGCAAATAACATTTACAGGCAACTTACATCAGCACAGATGGGTCGCTGCTTTGTCTGCTGAGGTGATAAGAAAGTGCAACTAGCAGACCACAGAAAGCAGAGAACAGTGCTGGAATGTGCTGTGCATCCCAGGGTTCCTGAGAGGATGACAGAAAACAAAGTTAGGAACGCAGAACTTAAAAAGCCAAAGTAGGTTGAGACATACATCATACATGCAATGTTACATGCACAACATCTAAATTTGTACACCATCTACCACAGACTGAAAATCCTTTTTCATATCAAAGTTTATTACTGTGAAAGAAACCCAGCAATTAAAGGTATGTTTTGTGGTCATACTATGCAACTCCCCTATAATCAGCAATTAGCTAGGAAAATACATGAAAGGCAGGTTTTCTTTCCTCTTAAATAAAACATAAGAGGAAAATTCTCATTAAAACGAGTTCTGAGTGAAATCAACTGCAGTGTATTTATCTACATGCTAAATTGATATGCAGTTACTTAACCTGTAGCCAGACTGCACATAACAAATGACAATATCACATAGCTCAGGCAGTGGGGTTTCTTTCAGACATATTTCTGCTGCCTTGTGCATTACACCCAGGCCCTGCCTGGATGCTAACACAGCGGAGAGGGAGAGCACTCGCCACCGTGTGTGACATCCCTGAACAGGGAAACAAGAGACGACTGACACACTCGCCAACACACTCTGGACACAACTGAGATGAGAAACTCTCTCCAGGTGACTTAAACAGCTAAAACTGGCTAGAAAGAATAAGAGAAGGAATTTAAAGATTAAGGAACTCTTATCAAGATTAGCTTTATCTGTGAAGTCATCAGGTACAAAATAGGGATCCTAAGACATACTTGTAGCCCTATCTGTGAGGAACACAGATTTCATCTGTGAAGGACACAGGAACATGGAGCAAATCCACAGCCATTTCACACACTGGTTGTACTCCTTGCCTCCACATAACTTCTACCTGATCTACCAAGTGTGAACTCACCAGATCCTGGCATCAGAGCACTTTCTGGACAGGTTTTAGAAGCAATGCTTGTAGGATCTGTGAAACTTTAGGCTAGTGCAAACAAGACTTTTTCTACAAGGTTATCTCTTGCTTTAAAAACTCAACAGTTAGTACAGGACCAATATTTTCAGAGGATAAACTAGGTTTATTAGTCTTATTTTGCTCAGTTACATGCATGATTTCTTAGCATATTAGGAAACACTCAGTTTTTTTCAGGTGCAATGAATACTAAGACAAACTAATTTTCTTTTAAGTGTCAAACATCTAACCCATTGCAGCATGGAATTTTGCAAATTAACTCTGAAATTCTTGTTATCCTAAGAGTAGTACCAAAAAAATGAAATTTTAACTCCAAGAACTATCTTCCCCTCATCATACTACTGAACATCACAAAGATGAAAGACAGAAGAGCCAAGTTCTATCAAACAATTCTACCCAAAACAGTAATTACAAACAAAAGAGATATTCGCATGCTATTACTGAAAGAATCCAGAACCATTTATTTGACAATTTAAACTTTACCATACAATCCTACTCTACATTTCATTGTTCCCAGTTTTGGGGCCAAATATATTTTGAGTTAGCTTTTCCCATGCTTAGTCTCGCGTCATACTCAATTCATATTCTTCAAAACACTGAAGAAAATCAACTGAAGCCAAATGTTTTGAAAATGTCTGAACCATAGCCTGTCCAAACATCCTTTGCATTTTCAGGGCAATACAACTGTGTACAGATCCTCCCAGCAGCTTCTAAAGCATGACTGTCCCTTTGCCCTGCAACTACTTTTAAAAACAAAATACTATCAAGAGTTGGGCAATATTCCTGATACTGAAATTCATCAGTAGCCAGTTCGAAAAATCATTCCACCCTCTTTCTACTATAAAGCTGTACACAGCTGAATCCCCAAATTAATGTCTCAGGAATTCTATTTCCATATTTTCTACATATTACACATAGCCTCTGTGTGGCCTGTGTTACAGATCCAAACTGTCACTGCTCCCTCAAAACTCAGGCATCAGGGAGCCAGGAAAGCAGGTAAGACAGGCATCAATATTTGCTATGTGCCTAGAGAACAGGATTTTCGAGAAAAATGCTACATAATGTTGTAGAAAAGATGAAAATGAACAAAGGTATCATTTCTCCAATATCAGTGTGATGTACCCTCTTCCATTTTGTCATTTTCCACCCCCACTAATGATGCCTGGTAGCTCTAAATTAAAAAAAAAAAAATTAAAGAAAGAAAAAAACCCAATATAGTTGATAATTGAACAATGATTCTTCTCAGTGGGAAAACAGGAATGACAGGTTTTACTCTTGGAAGCTGGTATTATTTGTCATACTAGACAGGGACTTTCGCTTCCTAGTTTACCTCACTGGGTTGAGGCGGCATGTAGTGCTTTCATATACGGTTTTGGTTTCAATGCAGACACTCACGTAGTCATTTTTAAAATAGGTGAAACAGACTGACGGGGTTAAGGATGAAAGGCATGAGTTACAACAGACCCAGTGGTGGGAGTGGGGGTGTTCCATTCCAACCACAGAATTGCCTAATCCCAAAACAATCCACTAAAGTGGGAGATAAAGGTGACTTTGAACTTATGAGCATTTTCCCCCTGCTAGAGGTGGGAAGGCAAATGAATTTTTAAAAAGTAGTGCTAGTAGTTTTCTGTCCTACATTATTTATCCTTTTTACTTCTTTCTTCTCCTAAAAAAGTGTGCATGTAGCACACTTATCTTTCAAAGATATATTCAAATAAGTCATATGTTCTACTCCAGAGACAAAGTGCTCTGAACAGAGAGACAATTACACTAAGCAGAAAATCTTGTTACTTTTTCTGTTTTTTTTTTTTTTTAAATTTCAAGGTATTCCACTCAACTCAGAGATGACTTTGCAGATTCCTGCAATGACAGCACCATTGAAGGTGAAGGTGTTGGCACAGTGGCTGGCTTTTTAAATATGGAGACAAACTCCAGCTGGTCTTCACAAACATGGTCTTCCACTCTCATGGTTTCATCACTATTTACAGAGTCAGAGAATGGGCTGGGTTGGATTGGACCTTTAAAAGTCACGTACTCCCTCATGCAATTCAATCAAACTTTCTTGGGTCTTTCTCCTTACCTCCACACCCCTGCTTCACCATGGATCTGTGCCATTGCTCACATATCAAGCAACAAGCAGATAGGGCTGACGGTCAACCATTCCACATATGTGATGGTAAAGATGGAAACAAATAGTGTCATTCTATTTCTGAACATCTAAACACTGACTTTCTGAAAGAGATTGTAAAAGGGACCCCTCTTCACTCCCAAAATAGTAAGAAATTGTTCTCTACAAGGCTAACTATAAGCTTAACACCATATTACCATGGATACTCCTTTTCAAAAAATATGTGAATTAATGAGCCTCAAGTTACACAGATTAAAGACAGATTCTAGGAAGAGATGCCCACCAGTCTTATCCTCCCATCATCCATGGAAAACAAAGCATTACTTTCCCAGTTGATCTTCAAAAACTTGACAAGTGGTAAGTTACCGGAATACAGGTATCACTGCCCACTCCAAGTAACATTGGCCCTCTTTCTCTGCAATTGCTATTATCTTGGACTGTATTTTCACTGCTGAAATTTAAAACCTGTAAGGGTTGGACTGATACAGAGGTGTCCATGCGTGTCCACACACGCCACATTACACAAGGGGATCGCAGCCTGTGACTGGAATCCCTTGGCTAAAAAGCAAGATGAGCAGCAGCTTCAGGCAGGAAGAATGGATACTCAATTTCACATAATGGTGAGTTTATCCTAAAGAAAAAGTGCAGATTTCTACATTTCTGTACAGTGAGAGCAACCCTGGGCCATGTTGGATTCTACAGGCATAATTTCTTTTTTCTATCTGGAAAATAACTTCTTATTCACAGAAAACTAAGACCATAACTACTGAAGTTATGTATACAGTGCAAGACCTGACTATGGCTGTAGACCTCACTTGCTGAAAGACACGGTATCTAGCAATACTCTCCAAAATTAACACCCCTAACAGCTCTTGCTTCAATCTCAGGGGTCTCTAAATTGGAAAAGAATTGCCTCCAAAACCTCCAAAAGGACTGAGAGTATTCTGTGCAGCAGAAATAAAGCTGTCCAATAATACTATATTTCTATTTTTGATCATTCAGGAATTCTGTCTATACATATAAGCCCCTTCATTGCTGTCTAGAAATTTATCTGGGCAGCCTTAGCAGATTGAGGGAGATGTATGCTTGCAACTCTTTTCTACCATCAAACTCCCAGACAAATATTTCAAAATTATTAGTACACAGATGAAAACTGCATCACTGTAGACAGGAAGTAAGAAGCACTGTTATTCTGATTCATGAGTTTCAAACTCATTAAACAAACCAAACTACATCAATGCAAGCTGAGAACAGTTTAAAATCCACACAGAATTTTTAGTAACTGTCCATTGAAGCACTAAATAAGCCACCAGAAAGTACTTTCTTCAGGTATGAGACAACAGAAACTATGTAACTTACATTTTAAAAAATATACATTTGCACAGAGCTGGAAAAAGCTGGTATGCCACATATGAATACATTCACATCAGTTTAATTTTTCTGACCCAAATCCAAAAATCTGATTTTTTTTTTTCTTTTCCAGGCTGATTAAGATAAACTGCAAGTTCCATAAAAAAAAACGAAACTCACTGGATGACAAGTAATTAACTGGTTCTGGATACATTTCAAATCCAAACCAACTGATATGAACAGAAGGCAGAAGACAAGGTCTGACTGATTCCAGAAACAGTCAGGGATGTGATCTTCTGCCCTATGGCAAAACTCTGGGACAATGGAATGCTAAAGACTGATATCAAAACAGCTAAATTCCAGATCAAATATTTGTAGAAAGAGGGCATATCTGCCTTTTTTTTAAAACATTTCTTAAATATTTGGGCACAGACCACAAAACAGATGGAGCAAGAGACAAAAATCTGAAATTCTAGTCAAGTGAAAAAGATGGCACAGAAATTCCCATGTCTCCAATCTGATGGATGTAATATCTGAAAAATAAAAACACTTCCTCCTGGAAAAAGAGAAAACCCTTTCGTATATCAAAGCT